GATTTCTTCTAGCTTGATAAATGTGTGATTATTTCACATTTAAAATATCCTACTCTAGGTATTAATTTAGAAAAAAAAAATTGTTCCTAATAAGCACTGACTACTACATAGCATAGGCATCAAAACTTTGTCATTCTCTTATATAAAAAAGAAAGTCAAAAATTCCCTGCTTTGTCCTTTGGAAGGACAAAGGAGGACACAGTAAATTTTTGGAAGGCGTTCGACTTTCATGCAATAGTGGTATAAGTCTCTGTAACTGAGAAGTAGTACTTAATCCATTTTAGCAAGGGCTAGGCTTCATGCTTCTGAACAGCAGAACCAGCTCACAAGGATTTCTAAATTGGTCCTAGGCCTCAGGGGATATTTAGTGTTTTTAGTGAAACCTTGAAGTGCTTGACAATAGGTCGAAGCCATTACTATCCATACCCAGCAACATTTTAGGTTGGGTAGTGACCCTAGATGAGGAATCACTGACTGTAAACACATAAGCCTTTGAACGTAGGGGTTTCTGAAAGAATGAATAGATGTATGTAATCTGTAAGTTTTCCTTCCTGACAATGGATTCCTTATTTTTTGAAATTTCTAAAATTGGTGGTATATATTGGTGGGAAATAGATGTTAGTCCTCACTAACAGTTGTGTGCTAGAATTCCACCCAGAATGATTCAAACTCTCTGTTATGGAAGTCTTTGAGGATCTGTGGAGATCTGAGGAAGATTGGCAGTGTAAAAGTAATTTCTCTCCAATTCAAAGTCAGGATAGAGGTGGATTTTGAAAAATACAGTGAACTTTCAAAACCGAATGAGCTGCTGAATTGATTGTGAGGACTTGGGAAAAGGAAGCATGATCCCTGGGAACTAACACACATTCCCAGTAAATTAACTTTACTTTTAAGGCTGACGAGGTTGTATTTTAGGATCTGAGTTCCTAGCACATTGGACAAAGTGTGTCTTGCTATTTTTGTTGACAAACTGTTGAAACGTGGGTGAGATTGCAGTAGTCAACTGAATTTCTATTTATTGAACAGTTATATCAACAAGCATGAACTTTTACAGGATTCTGGAGGACCTAGAAAACATGGTGGTAGAAGAGGAAATATTTAGCTTGGAAAAGAAAAAAAGTTTCTTTTCTTTTTTTTTCCTCTCCTAGGAAGCAGACACAAGGCAGCTGTTTCCAAATTCTTACAGCAGCTCTGTCATTGAAGATTATTAGACTTTCCTTGCATCTCAAGTAGGACAATTTGGAATCAGGGAGACAGATTTTTTTTTTTAATGCAAAGAAAAAGGTTCCTGTCAATAAGTCTACTGAAATAGGCAGCCTTTTGAGGCAGCAAATGTAGTTTCCTGATGAGTTTAAGCAGAGACTGGACACGGTTCTGGACACTGTCTAGTGATTGCTTGCATTGACCAAGAAACTTGGCAAGACAGTTTCTTCTAGCTCTTTCTAAACTGTTAGACAATCAAATGAGGCTGAAGAAGTTAGTGGTCAGATAGAAAAAGGCAATTTTTCCCTTCACCGTTGTGGTTAAAGAGAGATATGTTTTGTCACACAGAAAAGGTTACATGCTTAATTAAGTGCTCTGCATTCAAGATGACCCAGGATGCCGTCTAAGAACCAAGAATAGTGCGCATTTCCTAAAAGCATTCCATACCATGATATGGAAAAAAGGGGATCACTGTGGTTTTCTTTAATCAAAACTCAAGAATGTTCCTGAAATTTATCCAGCCCGAGCCAAATTATGACTGCCATATAGTAACTAGAATCGTTAGTGCTACATTTTCTATCATATTCTGGGAGCTATGTGTCTAAAAACTACATTCCTTTATAAGTGTAAGTAAATTTTAATTTTCTCACTGTCAAAGTTATCCATCAATTCTCCTTTTTTTTTTTCTGGTCAGATCATTGAAGGTCTTGATTCCTAGTTTAGGAAGTTGGTGGATTTTGAATTCTTTTGATTGTGTGAGCTATACTGGGAAATGCAGTTTATGCCACACCCCAGGATCATATATGCATTATGACTGAAATTGAATATTTGACAAATAACACATGCTCACGTACAGTATGATACCCAGAAAATGTTAATTCAATTCAAACCAATTGATTAATAGATATTGATCATATCCCACTCATTTCACAGGATTTTCAGGTTGAAAAACACTGCTCTCTCCAGTGATTACTCATGAAAAAGTCAAATAAATGGCAGAGTAAATTCGCAAACTCAGGTAGCCTCTTTAAGCCATCTGATAAACCTGTTATAAAAAGATAATTTTTGCATATATATTGTATGAAAAGTCAAACGGAGTGCAAAACATTTATATATCCTCATTCTTTGCCTTCTTCCCGTCTTATTAGCATCCCCCATCTTCCCATAGATAAATGGCAAAACCCTGCAGCCTCTTGAAACATGAAAGACTTTGAGAGAGATATATGGGTAGACTGCATTTGCTCTGTGTATCTTAAAGCTTTACATCTTGGAGAAGCAAGTTTTAGCCTACAGCACGTCTGTTTATGAGCACATTCTGGTGACTGCTGCGATAATGGAATTGCTGATACACGGCTCTGAGCACTTGGGTAACCATTCTTTTATTATTAGGAAGGAAATGCAGTTTTTAAGATCAAAGTGGACACCTCTCAGAAGTTACATTTATTACAAAAGGTTAAAGTGTCCACATTCTTTGGCATCAAAGGGACTTAAAGCAGAAGGAGGGTAATATTCCATAGACCGGTGCAATTTTTGATATGACAGTAACCACCTAAGTTGGTGACAGGAACAAGTGGTAATCTAATTCTGAAGGTTACCAATTCTGTCAGCTCTGGGGTTCAGCAAGGTGCTTGGTATTGTGATAGCCACAGCCAGGGTCTGCCTGACCATTGTGTAGGCACTGAGAATATGTTAGAGTCCTTTGGTAGCATTTTGGTACCAGGGTTTCAGAAAGCAAAGTTTAGCTCTGCCATCATGGTGCATGTAAAGTAAAAGGTCATTGTTAGTTATTATTACAATAATAATAATAATCCTTTGGAAAGTCATCAAGGATCAATTCTAGCCCTTGAAACATGGTAACCTAGGATTGCAGCAGTTGCACTGTGACAATTGCTGCCATCTGTATGATAACAGTTCTGCTATTCTTAGGGCATATTTGTTCTTTCTCCTCCCCTTTTTGGGGGTGGTACCAGGGATTGAACTCGACCATTGAGCCACATCCCCAGCCCTATTTTGTATTTTATTTAGAGATCGGGTCTCACTGAATTGCTTAGCACCTCACTTTTGCAGAGGCTGGCTTTGAACTCAGGATCCTCCTGCCTCAGCCTCAGGAGCTGCCCTGGATTACAGGCTTGTGCCACCACACCCAAATCCCCTACCCCCACAACTTTCTTTTTAAGATTTGAAATAATTTTTTACTTTTTTTCTTATTTGCTTTTTCTTCAGTAAATTCAAATTGTTTGTATTTATGGTGTATGATATGTTTTGAGACATTTTGGTATTGTGGAATGGCTAAATCAACATATGCTTTGCCTCATCCACTGACTATTTATCCCAAAGGGGCTTAAGTCTCTTTGCCAAGACTTTAAGATGGGTACCTTCAGGGAAGTCTGGGGAGCATCTCTCAGCCCGGCCACTTCAAATGCTTACTAGAAACTCCTTTATATAGATGCCTAAAAACCTTCTTTAGTAGTTTTAAATATGCATGAAATTTGGCCAGTGCATATGAGGGAGTAATAAAGGCTCTTCATTATTTTTTTTCAAAAACTTTCCAGTCATTTGAGATCTGAAGATCTCAAATCACTAAGTCTAGAAGCTCTGGATATTTAATGAGGGTGCTTCATTTCACAAAAGAACTCACTTTGTTCCATTGTATCTGGCAAATAACTTCTGAAATTTCCTCTGCTTCCCCAGGAGTCCATCTTTCTAGAGACTAGCACTGGAGGAAACATTTTTCTGGTAATTATTAACGGTTTATTGGAATTTAGAGTTAGTATCATAGAAGTGGATTTTGTAATCAGTATCTTCTCCATTCCCAACATTGACAGCTCATGTTATTGATAAAAATACAATATTGATTTGAATACATTTAAAATGGGCTCTTACAGAATGTGCAAATCCTCGATCATAGACAATTTTCTTGTACTAATAAAAATGTATAATAGAATGATATAGACTTAATGAGATCAAGGGTGCAGTATGTAGAATAGCTATGCTATACCTTAGGCAATCTCTGGCTAATTGTTGATAACATTTTATCTTTCACCATGAATAGTTGGTCCTGAGAGTTGTCAAAGTAAGCATTATGTCTTTTTTTTTCTTTTTCTTGAAATATGCAATCTTGTGTGCACAATGGGGAAAAAAAAGGATTTAGTTTTGTAGAAATTGCTAGATTATTGTTGTAAGTTTTACTCTTAAGTAATAGTTATACTAGAGGCAGAGTTATGAAAGAATATTTACTTTAGGTGGGTCAGTTAGATCGAATTCTCCAAATTTAACTTGTAGAATTGCCTACTCAGGAGTAGTACCTTTCATAATAAATTGACAATTTCCAGTAGGCTAGAGAATGTAGGCTTAAGTTTTGGTTCACATTTTATATCAATTCCCAGTAAAAGAAAACTAAAACAGTTAATTTCAATACTCCTTTTGGAAAAAACAGAACAAAACAAAACAGACAAAAACTCCCAGAGAGCTGTAAATAAGAGGATGTTTCAAAGGAGAACATTGAGTTCTCTTCCATGTATTTTCTGATAATTGCACATTTTCCTGATTCTTTTTATCCCTGCACACTCCTTTTATGCTTAGCAAAAGTTTGAGAAGAAGTGATCCATGTATCCAGCACAGCTTGTGATTTTTCTACAGCTTGTACATCTGACCTTTCCTTGGTGTTTTGCATATTGTTACCACCTGTTTTGTTCCATTTTATCAGAGATAATTGTCCTCATGGGTCCCAGGTTTGACTCAGGTGGAATGCATTACCTGCCCTTTCTCCCTCGTCCCCTCCCTCAGCTGCTACTCACTCAAAAGGGTCGCTGGGATCTGCCCTCTGGAGCTCTGGAGGGATGGGAATTCTTTTGTAGTACATTTCCCAGTCGAAGGCTCCGCGCATGGCATCCCCAGCTTGTGCCTCATACCCAAAGTGATTGTGGTCAATGACATCGATCATGGGACACACGATGGTTTTGTGGTTGAGTGCAATTTGGTCTGAAAAATGAAAGCACAAAATAGGAAATGACATGCCTGCCTAGGTCATCTATCATTCTGCAGCAAAGAGAAGCTTTACACATCCCTACTAATGCAGAATGCTCGCGGCTTTGGCTTCCTGTCGTGGCCAGAGCACTTTGCAGGAATCTCTGAATGTTGGACATAACGTGATGGGACAGTGATTAGGTACAATTAGAGTTGTTGTATTTTCCTTAAGAAAGTTATGTCCCAGAGAGACTCGCAGAGGTCCATTTAGCTCTACCTCTGTCACATTTTTGCTCTGACCTGTCCCCAATCTGTCATTTTATCATGCATCCAACATGCACAGAGTATAAACAGTACTTGTGTTCCCTCAAGCATACAGCTGGAGCCTGCTGAGAAAATATTGGCCTGCTTTTCTAGAGGTTCCAAAATGTAAATATTTAACTTTATGAGTTTTGTAGCATCTCATCGTATAAGACACGATGGCTGTTTCCCCCTAAATGCTGACAGATCATACATAAAACTCTTTGTTCTCAACTGACCAGTGATTTTTGTCCAGTCCTATTTTTTCACTGTTTTTGAGACATACTCTGTATATCAAAGTCACTTTATGTTCTCAGGTCATATCCAATAAGTACTATCTACGATAGTACTGTACTGTCCTACTAAATTTAATAGTACTGCTACTATAAAATTTTTGAGCAATTACTAAGTGAATCATACTCATGATATTTCTCATACTCCTATACACCATGTGAGGTGGCAATTATTGTCACTCCAAATCTATGCACGAGGAAACTGAGCTCAGAAAAATTAAGTAACTTGTCAAGAGGGTCACTCAGTTTTTGAGGGCCACAAAAAGTGAACCTCTTTTTAACTGTCCAGGTTCAAAACCCATCTTTCCAGGTTGCCAGGGTGTTTCTCATTGTAGCAGAGATGATTTTCCCCCTCTCATTTCCCATGTAGATATTGTCATTGTGGTGACACTGTCAGTCAGCACAGGGAACTGGCATTAACATACTCGGGTTCACATAGAAAAGCTGTGTGTGAAGCACCTTCCCAAGAATGTGCATTTAATCAATATTTATTATAACAAACCAATACCGTCTGACACACAGAATGTTTAAGTGGGAACATCTGCTCTCTTGTTATTTGGAAGGCCTTTGGATGTGGCATGTGACATTAAACAAAGGGTATCATTTCTAAGTATTCTGGGATCTGCTTATTTCCATATTATATATTTTTTTTCACAGAGATCCAGAAGTCAATGTAATCCATGTCAGGGAGAAGTTCTTATAGTACGGAGGACATCCATTTGCTTCACAAGGTTCTCCTAAGCATAGGGCAGGAAGCAAAAGGTTTTATTGGGTGTAATAACAAGTGGCCTTGTTTTGATGATGCTGATAAAACAAGGTGTAGAAACCACAAAATTCTGTAGAAGATCTTGGCTTCTGGGCTACAGGCATTTCATTCATTTGTGTTTCAATAATTATTTATCGAGGTAAAATTATGTGCCAGTCACTATCGTAGGGGCTACAGCAGTGAACACCACCGCAAAAATCACTGTCTTCAGGAATGGAGAAAAAACAATTAAGAAACATTAAAAAAATCACTAAATTCACTAGTGTTTTAAAAGGTGATAAATGAGATGGAAAGAAAACAAAAGAGGGTTAGGGGAATATGGAATGCTGGGATGTGGAAAGGGTTGCAATTTTAGATAGTATGGCTCCCGTCTGCTAATTAGTAGATGGAGAGATTCCCAGCACTATTTCCTGTTCACCTCCGCCAAGGGCTCTCTAAGCATCCATTTTCACCTGGGCAAGCCTTCTAATGGTTTTTAATCTTTATATAAATGGTGTTTCCCCAGAGATGTCTTTGACAGAGGAGACCGTCAGTGCTGCGTCCGATATATTTCCTCTATCACCTCTGCAGGTATTTTAGTATTAAGGTTTCACTGACTTTCTTCAATCAAACTCAGAATCAGGTTGATTTACAAGTTCCTTGACCAACAAGGAGTCCCAAGGTGACCCGAAGAGAATGAGTCTGTTAAATTAACTGTCAACTTTCCGTTCAAATTTCCTTTCAGTTCTCCTCCAGCTGTACTAGCTTAGGGTGAAGGCTGCATGACTAATTTTTCATCCAAGGCTTGTGCCTACATTTCAATTTCCAGGGATCAAACAAACAGACTCTTAATAGGAAATTGAAATTCAGGTATAATCCCAAGGTGAAAAATGAACCACAAAACTGTGTGGCTCCGCCTGTTCTTTCATTTTGGATGATGTGTCAAGACACTGATAGAGGAAAATAAAAAAAGATAGCGATCCTGAGCTTGAATCGTTTCTTATCCATCAGGCCTACAGGAAATGAAATGCTTTAATGAGAAAAAGTGGGTTGTGGGTTTCTCTTCTTTTCTTTTTTTTTTTTTTTCCTCTTTCTTCATTTTTTTCTTTCTGTTAGATTCCTAGCGAACAATCAGAGACTCCATAATTGGCATTTAGGGATTGCTTTGGTTCATAAATAAGGTAGGCCTTTTGCTGACTTCCTTGAGTATTCAACACCATATAGGTCAAATTCAGTTTTGAGGGGATCTCACTGTTGCTGATGAAGCTTTAAATTGCTATGTCCTTGAACAAGGTACTTTTAATTAAAAGCTCAGAGGAGTCTCTGACTGTAGGAGACTGAAACATTCCTGTTGATTAGGATGGCTGGCAGTCATCTGTACAGGGGTGTGTGGATGGGCAATGTGGTGGGGGTGTTGCTGGTTGCTCTCTGTTTTAAATCCTATACAGTTTCGGTCAATATCCTCCCCCCTTCCTCACCCATCTTTTTACTAATGGAGCTTGGCTCGTTCTAGTTGAAATCCTACACAGTATTCAACGGCAAATCATTCTTCCTGAGACAGCTATCATATAGGCAGTTGTTAGTGGCTCTAGTGCTGAGGTCAGGGATTTATCTACAATAAAAGAAGATTGGGCAAAACCTGGAAGAACAGGAAGAAGTACAATGATGTGCACCCCAAATTTTTTTAGAAGATCTTTTTTTTTTTTTCGGGCATACAATTTATTTCTTAGCTACAACTTATAGCTGACTTCAGTGTAAAATAAAATAAAAATATTGGAGCTTGAACTGAGCCACACTTAACATTTCTCACTTGAATTAGTTTCTGTTCATTCATGTTTCTAACAGTCCATGTGCCATGTGACAGTCTCCCTTCTTCCCCCCACTCTTAGCCACAGCAAGCACACTTAAGATCTATCATACTAAGCACATCTCTATATTTAGGGTTATAGGCTGGTGCCAAGAGTGGAAGGAACAACAAAAATGTCACCATAAATCCTAGAAAATGGCAAAGTGCTTTTAACTTTAACTCTATACTGGGTTGTAATAATTTTACTTCCTCTTTTCTTTAAGAATCCTGTAATAATGGTTAAAGTATAATATGTGCATTTGAGTCTTATTGTAGTTAAGAGATGACTGTAAAAAAAGTTCATTTTTAGTATTTACCCAATGAATGTAACTACAATAAAACTACTATAAAGGAGAATGTCTAAGATAAATGAAAATTTTTTAAAAAAATCTTAGATTAGATTACAGTTGATATTATCTAAATTATTAAAATACTATTTACCTTTTTTTTCTTTCCTGCAATACTGTGAATTGAACCCAGGGACCTGTGCATGCTAGGCAACATTCTATCCCTAAGCTGTACTCCCAGCCCTAAAATATCAGTGTCAATGTGGTTTTCTAGTTGTCTGTTTATCCTCAACAGCAGTTCAGAAGTAATTCAAGGACCCCTCTGCTAAAATTACAGAAGGGTCTCTAGCTTTTGTTGCAGCACCTTGCTCTCACTCTTCAGGGCTGTAGTTCTTGTGGCCCCCAAAGTTCCCAGAGTGCCTCCGTGACAATTATACTCACTAAGGAGTGGGGGCAGCCAGTTCACGTTGACCTCGCAGTGGGAGTCAAGGAAGGTCAGCACCTCTCCTCTGGCCATAGATGCGCCCAGGAGTCTGGTCCGGATGAGTCCTTCTCTTTTCTTGGTACGAACAATTCTCACTTTGGAAAACCGAGCCATGTATTCCTCTAACTTATCCTTCAAGTGTTCTAGGAAAGAAATAGAGAATGCATAGGAAGAATGATACATTAGTCATAGTACAATCAGTCATGGATGGTGGGCGTAGAGAGGATTCGAATGATGAATCCTAGGATAAAATCTTCAAAGACTTAAGATAGATGCTTCTCCTCTCCTCATCTAGAGCAGAGATACTTATAAGATTTTGTGCTTAGAGGTTTTATGCTTATTTCTCCAAATGTTTCATAATCTGCAAATACTGCCTTTGTTTGAATGCAGTGACACACCAGAGCTCTGCCATGCAGTTACTGTTGGCAGGTGGCCATCATGTTAATCCTGGCCAGCACTTGCCAAGGTGGGCATTGCCCTCTGGTTCCTGTTGTGTGAAGTCAGACGAACATCCTGGCATATGGGCTCTTCTCAACAAGGGGGATTTTTATAGCAAGGCTTTGCCTAGGATTCTAGGCAAAATAGGCTGAAAATAATGCATGTAAAATGAGAAAGAAAAATATTTGTCAAGTCCATAGAACCAAACAGATTTCTATCCATACAGAGTAATAGCAAACTCGTGAGCAAGTCCAACTTGGGCTTGTGATTCAAAGTGGCAAGGTGACTGATGTGCGCAGAAATAGGTATGGAAAGGGAAAGCTGAAGAAATACTATACAGTCATTTTGAACTTAGCTATTTAAGACCTGGAGATGTTCTTTAGCTTTTTAAATTTGGAAATGCTTCATGCTCTAATTAAAAACAAACAGCAGGAACAAAATCAAATCAAATAACTTACAGAATAAAACATTTCCTACTGTCTGTGATAAAATGCATCAATTTTTTGTTCTCTTTTATGGGAAATAAGTGCATTTGGTGGCTTTCTGTGGGATATGTTCTTATATATTTTATATCCACTGCTCTTACTCTGCCATATCTAAGACATTATGAGAGCTTTATTGGAATCTCTGACAAGTATAGTCCAATATCTATTGAAATGGAATCTCAGTAGGCAGTGTGCTCTCTGTTTTTTTTTTTTTTTTAACTTTTCAAACCTTCTTTGCAGGTCTGTAATCAAAGGCAATAATATTAAGTCTCTTCCATATCCATTGCAATAGGTGTTCATGTAAGATCCATAATCCCTTTCTGCTTCCAATTTAACAGATATCAGAATTATTCTATATTGACATTTCTCTGAATATAAAATTTTATTCTTATTTCTTATCGTTATTAGTGTAGTATTAAAAAAACCCTTAATTTTTTTTGGGGGGGACTGTTTATAACTGTTTCACAAGTGGATCAATTAAAGGGGTATGTGGCTTCCTAATTTTCACTATGAAAGAATCAGAAATGATTTAGCTCAAAATATGTCCCCTTCTCTATTGTTCTTTCTGTCCCTAACAGAGATATGGAGATGAGACTATGGCAAGCTAGATTCCAGCATTTGGAATCAGAATAGTCCTGGGAGGGAGGTCTATAAAGTGACATGGATTAAAGTGACATGAATGAGTAAGGGTTTTGGGACTTTGTTTTTTATTTTATTTTTATTTTTTTTTTACTTTTAGAATGTGGCAGACAGTCAAGCTTTGAGTTAGGCTTTGGTTAGAGACCTAGCAACATTTATTCATTCAACAAACATTTACCAAGGCAGTAACTGGAGCATTGAGTAAGCCCTTGTACTGATGAAGAGGAACAGCATTTCCATTTGAAGAAAGCTTTTGAATGCTGAGCCCAAAGTACAAAACATATGAAAGTTCTATTACATGGTGAGATACTGATAATTCATTCTCTTATATCTATTGCAAATGTAAGGAAGGAAGTTCTGGTAAGTAATAAAGTAACACATGGGTGTATAAGCAGTATTGCAGAGGCTTGTTCCATCCTGTCCCTCTTTGCTCTGGAACATCCTGCTGTTCAGAGGACCCACTTCCTGCACATCCCCCTTTGCTCACTCTTCCCCACCACAGACTCTCTGGCTACCCCGTGTGGAAACTGCAAAGAAAATTTCAAAGAACTCTACAATACAGCCTCAACTGCAAATAAGCCTGGAGCTTTACTACCTCGTCAGGGAACTAAAGCCAAAGCAACACACTTGAACAATATGAAGATGCTGTATGTGCCAGAGTCCTGAAAGGCCATGTTCTGTCAGGATTTCTACAGCAATAAACATTTAAGAAAACTTCATAATCTCATGACTGTAATTTACTTAGGCGTTGAAACATTTCTGAATTACCAATTAACAAACAAGAAGCGTTATGCCAATTTATTTGTAAGTTGGTTGTTTGGACTGCAAAATGCTTATCTCATAGAATATTGTCTAGATAGTCACTGGGAACTAAAAAAAAAAAATAGATCATGTCTGTTAAGCCACAAATAGTGTTCTTTCCCCTTTTCTTTAATCCTCATTGTTCTTTTATCAATTATACAATGCTGAGTAGCAGCTCAGTGCTCCAAGATGCATTTAGGTCTCTCCCCCTGATTTCCAGGGATCATGGGGTCTTGTTTGTTGGAGGCGTGGAGTATTTACTATAGCCACATAAGAGGAAGTCACTGCAGAATATTCTCACTTCCTGGATATTCCAAAGAGGGAATTAAAAGGTTGTCAGTCACCTGGGTGCGCTTGTCCTAACTTCAGATGCAGACTTCCATATTCCGTGGTTTATAAGAAATTCTCTGGAACTCAGTGGGTCTAGCTCTGTAAGTTTTCTTTCCCTCTGTACACATTTTCTGATTCTGTAAATTTTTCTTATATCAAAGTCCATTTTTTAATGTAATAAAAAGATTGTATGGTGTGAATTCACTAAACATAAGGATTTGACCCCAGAGAGTCCACTAGATATTTAGATGAGTTCCTTTAGTTTGAACTTTACAGTGATAATTAGCTTGCTTTCCTCAGATAATGATCTGGTTGACTGCCCTTTGGGGTCCATTCTCTCTTAGTAGTTCAGTTGTAACATCTAATTACCCATAAGTCACAATGAAGGCAGGTACCATCAGTCTAATTAGCAAATTAAACTCTCCTACAAGGGAGTTACTGGAGATAGTAGAGATGGCTTTAAATTAAAAAACATTGTTCCTTTCTTTAGTATGAATAAGTTTAGATTTGTTTCTAAAACATTGTTATCATGCTATAAAATATGGCTCCATATTATTTTTAATTCAAGCACATCTTTGAAGATTGCTTTTCATCTTTAAATAATTAAACTTTAAATACTCCGAGAGAATTATTTAACTTTAAATAATTTCAAGTATTTCTGTAAAGTAGGAGATTTTTCTAGTGACTGTGAGACATTTGTAAAACCATTAATTTATTTTTTGTTTTTGGTTTGTGGTCCTAGACTAAAAGTTGATACATCATTGTTGAAATCTGCAGAGTAATATCCTAATGATCCAGGAGAGTGAACACAACTTCAAAAACATAGTTTTCCAGGATTTATTGTATCCCTGTGAAGCAATAATGAAACAACAAGCTGTAGTGAAGTGAAATTCTGTTGTCACGCTGCTGTGAGTAGTAAATTTAGCAGCTTTCTGAAATGTATTTCCCTCTTTTCAGAAGTTTAACTTATACTTCATCGATTTATATAGCGAATATATCATTCATCAGTGAATTTAGTGTCTAGAGAACCAAGTAAACACTAACACATTCATCTTCAGTGATCTGCATAGCCAGGAGAGTCAAAGACAAGGGATCTGGTCCTTCTGATGACTGGCCAGATGGCTTTGGGTAAATAGCTTTATATAGTTTGCTCTCATTTTCCTTAGATATAAGAAGAAAAGGGAATGTGGCTGGTAGATCTTAACTATTCCTTCTAGTTTTATGATTTCATGATTTTCCCTTGTGAAGATTTACTTACTACCTGGATCGAGTCCTATCAAATACCGTTTTTTTCCTAAATGCATCCTAATGTTAGACATTATGGTGTTGTTGACTGTGTCTCATTTTTGAAAGTAGGAGTTAAAATAAAGCTAACACTTACCAGAGTCTTAGTCAAAAAGCCAACTCCAGGATCTTTCCTTTGGTCAATCTTTCTAATCTCCTACAGTTTGCTGTCTAAGATTGTCACTGATGTCAAAATAATGACTTTGAAGCACTGTGAACTCATCAAAGATTTAATTCTGCTTAATAAGTTATGTGTATTATGTCAGAAAAAATACAGTAATGGAGTGCACAAAGCTCTCTGGTCCGCCTTTGAGGAATTGTTCCCAAGGGTATGAACAAGCTAGTGACCCTCAGTATTGCAGAGCATAACCAGGTGGGGGACACCCCACCCCAGAGGCTGGCCAGTTGGTAGCTCCAGGTTGATGACCAGGTTCAGCAACTTACTGCCTGCTTCTTTCCATCTCCTTTGAATTATCTAATTTATATCTCAAAGGGAAGGAGGGGCCAGGAGACACCTGATCTAGAGGTAATGGATTTATATATTTAAGTGCACACCTATGGAGATGAAATTCTTTTGATGTTTATCCTTTGGCATTGGTAGACTGAGGTGGAATATCACCTTAAGATCATGTAGAATATGTATTAGGTATTACAGGTGATGCCTTGTTACCGAGTTTTGAAATGTAATGGATTATAAACACGTGGAAACATGTATCTTAACTTTTCTGGTTAATCCTCACACAGATGCTGCGAATTGTAACTCTAAGTATTCTGGGTAATCTGAAGTGCAACTCTAAGTATTCTGGGTAATCTGAGGTTTTATCACAGTTTGCAAAGAAGTACTTTACAATTAGAGGATAAAAGAGACTCTTCCATTTCCTAATCTACTTGGTGTATATCATGCATATTTGGACCCATAGTGAAAATATTAAGGATAACTGCCTACTTTAGCAGGGCCTGCAGAGACTCTTTCTACATTTTTGACCTAGAAGAAATATACAGCTTTTAGGTATCTAGTTGACTTCCACAAAATTGTCAGTCTCTTTTTATCCCATATGACCATACTAAATCTCTCTGTTGATAGCATTCGAACAGACATTTCACATTTATCTCTGCAGCACAAAAAATCCAACCAAGAAAGTAATAGAATTGATGAAAACATATTC